TTTCCAAAATACTGCAAGTTTTTAGACAGATTGGTGGTTTGATTAATCACTCATCACAGCTTTTTAAAAATAGCCTGAAACCAAAATATTTCCTCTATGGCTAACACAAAAAAAAAGTCAATTAAAAAAAATCACCTTATTGTCTATTTGCAATTTGTTCACTGAAACATCATTAATACTCAGAGCATTATTTTTATCTTAAAATACACTGCTGAAAATTTGGTTTGTAGTCCCGAACAGACACACAGGAAGGAATGGCTGAAGAACCACAGCAGTATTTACTGCAGCAGCCATTTTCACCCTTCATTCTCTATTCTGTTTGCAATCATCCAAGAATACTGATTGTTTTTCCAAAATTATTAACACCTTTCACTTTTACTGATTCCTAATCCAACATATAGGCTGTTACTCAAGATCTAAGAATTCACTAGTCTCACAATACCCTTAGGATATAAAGGTATACTGCTTTCGATTTACTGAGGGAAATTTGAATTATAAAGAGGATAAATTACTTGTTCAAGGTGAACCTCATGAGAAGATGTTTGAATCAAGAATATAGTGCATGTCAGATCTCTAAACACATCTGGCCAATTGTACAGTGGGATTTGTGTGCAGACAAATGTGAAAGGCACTCCTTTCTGTCCCTCATTAGGATGAACCCAGCCCCTAAAGCAGAAGATCCTTACCATATCTATTGGCTGGAGGGATTAACTACTAATATTCTTTGAATGATAAAAAGTAGAGCAGTAATTCTCATCATTATACAGCAGAAACCCAAATAAATATGTAGGCACCTTGTGACTGAAGCTGGTTTGTCTATAGGTAGCATTCAACAGTGCAGGCTCTACCTAAGAGACACTGTAGAAGCCTGTACAAGTGACAACGTACCAACAGCCTCTGAACTTCTCCACCCTCCCCTCACCCCACCCTCCTTTCTCCTTCTGGTAAGTCCAAACTTTAGTAAGGTTTTAGAGTATCTCTTAAAGCTACTACAGTTCATGAAGGGTATTGCAAAACCAAAAAACATCATGTTGCAACTGGTTCCCAACACTCACCTCATCTGAGCTTGTGTGCATTGGCCAGTGAAACAACAAGTAAATGCTGTCCACTCATCATTGGACTCATTGTGCTAAAAGAATGAACCTACTGATTCTCAAGGCTTCCCAGACTGAGGGATATAAACATACTACCTTTGAATAGGGACTTTTCTGTTTAATGTGAGCATCACTGCTCTACATGGGCAGCAAACTCAAGAGCCAGACAATGCCTCCCTTGCTTCTTTTTCATGCTGGTGCACTGGAAAAGGGCAGATGGGTATTTGCTACATCCACATTAACTTTCCCACTGCTGCACAGCAAAAAAGGTTTCCCTATACTATTCATTAAAATTACCATTCCAAAAAGAGGGGAGGTTGGCAACACAAGAACACAACCTGGGATTTCATGCCCACCTGCTGCACTGTTCTCAGGCACGCTTGCCTCGTACAGGCTATGGCTGAATGAAATTTCCTCCTCTTGTTCTTCTGTAAAGATAATAACCATTGCCGTGGCTGTTCGCGGTGAGATACCTTGATCTGAAGCCGTCACTAGCAGCTGGGTGTCAAAGTCCTTGGAAGCCAAGGGCTCCCGAAGAATGATGTCACCTGTCTTCGCATCAATCTGAAATACAGTTTCTGCTGTCATTAAATTAAAAACAATAGCTCCATTTGATCCCAGATCCGCATCCTCTGCTCTCACAGTGGCTACTGTCTCATTCACAGCAGTTTCAGCAGGCACAAAGACCCTGACAGGGTTCTGCAAAAAAACAGGATCATTGTCATTGACGTCATCAACATATACCACAACACTGACAGTGGTACTCCTTGGCAAATGGGTGCTGCAGTCACTTGCTACAGCCCTAAATGTATACTGCGACTTGGTCTCCCGGTCCAATGCCTTTGTAGTAACTATAGATCCTGTTACACTGTCAATAGCAAATGCTCCAAAGGTGTCATCAATGAGGGAGTACATAACTTCACCATTCAGGCCATCATCTTCATCAGAAGCATAGAGGTCCAGAATGACTGAGCCTTCCTCTAGGTCTTCCGTAATGGAGATTTGATACTGTGTCTTTGCAAACAGTGGGTTGTGGTCATTTTCATCCAAGACTGTTAGATAGAGCTGTGCAGTGGAGCTTCTTGGGGGACTGCCTAGGTCATGGCACTCAATTACAAGAGTGAAATTGCTGATGTCTTCTCTGTCTAAGCTACGAGTGATCTGCAGTTTTCCTGAAGTGTTATTTAGTGTGAAGTATTCTCCAACATTTCCACCTTTCAAACACATAAAAAATAAAATGATCACAAACAACTGCTTTTAAAAAAAGAACCTCATGCAAGTGTTGCTATGTTAATTGCAATAACAATATCCAATTGCCTGTGTGCTCATGTACCTTTCACATATTTTATTTCTCTTATAAAAATTAAAGCCTGTATTTGATTTAAATCAGTGGGTGACAATGAAAGTAAATGCACAATGTCATATCAATTTACAAAGTGGCTATTTGGCCAGATGCATGTCTTTTTTCCCAAACCAGCCCACCTTATAAAATCACATGCATCTATGCTGCTGCATGAAGTGACCTCTTCACAACCTTAGTTACAAATTCCAGAAACCTATAAAGCATTGCTGACAATTGTAATTACTTGCTCCTTGTTCTCTTCTACAAACCTGCCTCTTGGAACTCAATAGTTGTGCAAGGTCTTGATTTGAGGGGAGTGGGAAATAAATGTGAATCAGTGAACAGAAAGGTCAGCATTTTTAGTAACAGTGAGTGATATACATACTTTATAACATGCAGACAGACTAAAGGTAATTAAATTAAATATGATAGAGCAATTAAATCAAATATCAAAGAAAGAAATTAATACCAAGAAAACAAAGGACTTCATAACTGTTTTTTCAAAGAAAAATGTGTTGGTTGTTACCACAGTAGCTCTCTGCTTACATTTGAGCTATTGCTGAGATCCACAAATCAAAGTAAGCACTGCAAACCTGTATTTGTACAAAGACATTACAGGAGGCTTTGAGCAGCTGTGGAGCTTACATTGGCATAGTGGACACAGGGAGAATTTGGCAATATGAAAACTATGTGTGACGTTATTAATTGCTGGGTGAAAGAAGCTCTCATGAAATAAAATTAAATAAAGAACCTTAAATAAATAAAATTCAATTATTTCTTGCAGCTATTTTCAAGGATATGTTTACATTCAGTCTTCTACGACTATAACAAAAAGGACAAAATTATGCTTTTGTGATTAATGCCTTCTTCCAGCATTTGGGGGTTTTTTTTGTTTTTTTCTCTTCTGTACTATTTCAAATCCAGAAAGCAGAATGAAAGTATGCCCAGGGAGTGGTTATTAATGCTGACAAAGGGGTGAAAGATCTTTTTTCTTTTACACACACAAGAAGCATGTGGACAAGATGGGAGCTAGGGAGGCCTGGTAAAATCAAGACTGGTCTAAAACTCGAGTACTGCTGTTTATATACTTCCTGATTTATACTAACTAAAATGATGGAGTGTAACTTACCAATTATTTTGTATCTTAGAGCTCCATTATTGCCAGCATCCATATCTACAGCCCGGGTAATATAAACAACAGAAGGCTGTTGGTTCTCTGGGATACAGATCTCAAAGGCAGGAAGAAGAAACATGGGAGAGTGATCATTTTCATCCAGCACCGTGCAGATAACTGTCACTGTGCTTGACAGCGATGGGGTTCCACCGTCTTGAACCAAAACTAACATCAATACAAAGAAAGTAAATTTTATTCAATGGTTGGGGGTGCAACAATAGATGTTCCTTAATAATATCAGAATAGGAGAGTTATTTATGCTATGCAAAAAGCATATGCTCTTCTGTACTGGAAAATCTTGCATCTAATTCAGAAGGCATGAAAAAAAATAATGCTGCAAGTAACACCACACCCACTCTCACTTCCCACTGTAGAGGCACTCATAGATGTTTCATACTGTTACCTTTAATACTGAAAACCTCCTGGGTTTCCCTGTCAAGTGATGCAGTTGTTGTGAGTTCTCCACTGCCCAAGTTCATCTTGAATTTCTCATAACCAGCTCCTGGTAAGATTTCATAATGAAGCAAGGAATTCAGTCCTTTAAAACAGAACAGAAGTGTTAGTATCATACAGCCGCTCCTCACATTCAGGTCTATGGATTTGTCTCTCCTCTCCCTCCAAGTTCTTCTGAATGACAATTCCAGACAGTTCCTGACCAGACCTACCATTTTTATATACTACAGGGATATTAGTCTTTCTCTATGAAATAGGCTAAAACTGTACAGGCTTTTAAAAACCTTTCTTCCAAAGTTGCCTGCCTGAGTTGAACAAGAAATGTGACTCCACACTCTGATTATGGTTATAAAATAATTTCTTTCATATTTCTTCTAGTTTCAACACCCTCCTGAGGAAAGTAGAATGTCACCACCATCAAACTTATAATATTAACTTTAATGAGTGTAGTTCTACATTATATTTGAAGGGCTTGTACTATTGTGCTCTTACATTTTTTTGCAAATTTTCCTAAGTTTCATTCAATCATTCTGTGTTTTTCCAACTAACAATCAGTCTTTTAGTAGGTTAGGGACAGTTGGCACACCTGGAAAACTGCAGCTCTCCTAGTCATACGAAAACTGCTATTCAGATTCAAACACTGCCTGCCTGTTCTCATCTGCTTCAGTCAAGCACAGGACAATCTACACTGGACTTAAAGGAGAAACACTGGTGTGAGAGAAGAAACAGAGCCTACGGTTTTTAACATCCATGACTTCCTTTGTTTGCCTTTGAATAGCTTTGTTAAGTGGTTGACAATGCTACTGAAATTTGATTAAGAGAATTACTACTGTAAATGCATTTGCACCTAAACTAAGTCAAGGGAGGGACATATTCACACAATGCCCAGGAGAAAAAAATGTGTTAAAGAAAATCTTTCAGCTTTCCAGAACAAAGAAGAAAAATCACAGCAGTGAGGACAACCAAGGTGAATGTCTTCAAAGTTTCAGGTCACCAACACACATTTATCTAATCTGCCCATATTTGGATACCCTTCATCTAAACTAAAAAAACATATTCACAGTTCTGCCTGCCTTTATCTATTCTTAATCACCAATATGCTACAGACGGAAAAAAAAAGACACATGAAACTGCAGGACTGATACTATTAGCTTTTAGTCTCCTGCAACTGAACTGCTTCAACACAGTGCAGATGGGTGGCAGATTCCACAAAGGACATTATTCACAGACAATGCTGAAAAAACATACGGATGCCATTCAAGCTGACTATTCACACAGTGTTGAAATGAAAACTTTTAACCCTTATAGAACACAGAAATGTGACATTTTAATTACATTTATTTACCAAGCATTTACTGCCTCCTTTCCCATATCCATCTGTAGCATTACAGTAGCATCAGGAAACAACTGCACACCCTGTCCAAGAGAGGAGCGTGAAGACTCTACACATTCACATACCACGCCACAGCAGCTAGCACATTTGCACTCAATCCAACCTGTTGGTTAATTATTCAGTAGTGCTAGTCACATTTTAGGGGCTGAAATTGCAAACTGAAATGAGAAATAAACTATTCTTCCTGCACAAGACAAGCTGGAAGAGGAGATAAGCTCCTTGCTTGCCACTGGCCGGTTGCAGGGACACGTTTCCCTGCAGGCCAGATGGCAGGGGGGATGCATAGTGCCTGAGCTGCAGCCAGGGAAAAGCTTCAGCCCCTTTCCCTGTTCTCCTGCCACAGCATGGGCAGTCCCTGCACTCTCACAGCTTCTTGAAAGCAGCAGGAGTTATGGCATTACACAGTGGCTATGTCTAGTGCCAACACTGGTGAAGAAGCAATGGGAATCAATGTCCCTCCCAGCCCCAAATCTAGACTCTAGTCTCATCTTTATAGTACTTTATCACAATGACGACTGAATGGCAGTAAGCCCTGCCTTGTAGTCAGTGGTCCCTATCAACCTTTTGATATATTCTCCTAAGGTTCCAGATATAACTGTTGAATCACAGAGGTGCACATCAGCTGAAAAGCAGACCTTGCCAAATGCTAGTTCAGTTCATTCACAGCTTCTGCAAAGACCTACCTCAAGACAAACTCCTGACCTATCTTAAATAAGCTGCTGGTATCTTTGCTTTCCCATGCATATTTTTCCAACATTTACCTGTATCACACGTGTCTTATACACTTGTATTTACTGGTGTTCAGCAGTTAGATGTCAGCCTGGCAGGGGGTGGACGTGGAGGGCTCCCAAAGTGAGGCAACATAAAGATGCAGTAAGTGCAGGTCTCATAATGTGCAGGAGGGAGTTAGCTGAACAAGATGTTTCATAGATATTGATGTGAAAGAAAACCATTACAAGCAAAAATTTTAGTTGTGATTTCTCACAAGAAAAAACTATCTTCCTTTCACAGAGAATGAACTCGAAAGAAGAATAAAACAAAAGGTCGATGATGGCTGATATTGTTAATAAAACTGATTCCTCCCAGTGGTCAGACAGGGAACATACAAAGTGAACAAATAACCATGATGGGAGAAAATCCTCCACTGAGACTATGCAAATATTACTGGGACGTGGACTGCAATTTAAAGAGCATACAAAAATAAAGTAAAAATTATTATGTAAAAGATAAAGTACACCATAAGAGGAGACATCTTAATCAAGAATGATGTTTAAAATGTAAGAAAAGTGAGCACCATTATATTTACATGACTCTGTCACAAATCAAATTTTCCTACATTATGAACATCACTTCAGTATTTGTTTGTAACAATACCATTACACACCCATGACATGGGGCCAAATCAGGCAAATCTGAGAAAAAAGACCAAACAGAAGAACTGTGGTTACTGGAAAATGTGCTTTCATTAAAAAAAAAAAAAGACAGGAAGGAAACATCAGCCACAACAGTGCTCCAGCCCAAAGTGTCTGCACAGGCAGGCGCATGCTGTGCCACCCAGTACACTTGGAATGCTCTTCCTCTCCACCCTGCCAAGCCACCCCAGCTTCCTCCTCCTAGCTGCTCCCAAAATTTCCCTTCTGCTGTATTTCCCACAATATGTGAAACAAGTATAAGAGATGGAGAAAGGAGGGAGAGAAATTCAAGCAATTTCTCACTTTTCTCTCTATTATCTTGCAAACCTTTCTCTTCAAATACCATTTTTTTATATCATGTGGCTCACAAAAGAAAGAAAATATTTGAAAGAGTGAGATAGAGGCAGACTGCAGCACTGCTCAGCTGTCATGAAGATAATCATAGACAGAGATACTACCATTCCTAATTTCTAAATACTTTACATACTTGTGGAGAAATGTCTTTTCTATATAGCATCTCTACTAAGCTCACATCAGTCTTTTGTAATCCATATATGCTCAACATTAAAATGACAACTCTTACTAAACACAGAAAATTATTTTGCTAACAAGTTCTATTATCTCCTTTTTGGATAGCACAACCATACACAATTCTAAAGATGTACAGAAAGGGAATCCACAGTAAAAAGAAAGGAATTCACAGAGTTGAGACCACCTTTGGGCCAAGTGCAAAAGTATTGTGATATTTAATTCTCTTTCCAGATTTTATCTTTACTGCAGACCACAGACTGCATAGCTAGCTATTCCAGCACACAGGCTACCTGTAACATCATATGCTGTGCATTTCAGATTGTTCAAAAGTGCAGGTAGTTGAAGTGAAGGAAATTTTTTGTTGCTTAGCAGATTCTCTCAGATGTAGTCCTTACCTGTGATTCACAGAGCAGATGAACCACCCCCCTCTTATTAATCTACTCTGTGTATGTTTGAAAAGCAGTGCATTAACATTCTTTTGCATGTAAAATCCTATTTAAAATCCAGAGCGTTTCCACCATCCCTTCACAGCTCGACTGGTTGGAAAATCTTGGATGACAGTGCCCCTCTCTGGTCAGAAAAGTTGAGTGCATGTTTGCTGGTTCTGGTACAAAACCAGGACTCTTGTCTAGTGAACTGCTTTAACGCTACTCAAAATGCTCTGATTGAGAGCAACAAAATGTTTACATATTAACATCAACTGAGCTGAACATTGTTTGCTGATTTATAACCAGAGCATGCTGATCCTCTTCACATGAAAGTTACAATATGCTGTATCATGCAAGTGCACATTTTACATTTAATATCCCAGTCAGGGCTGAAGCTACTGCAGAGTGCAAGACAGAGTACCCTCGAGCCCTGAATAAAGGTTAAGAGTCTGAACCAAAAGCCATGCTTTGAAACTCAAAACTCGTATATTACCTTGGCAAAAGCACAACAGCTGTACACACCAGGCAGCAAGATTGGATCGGTCTACTTACGGACCACAATCACATTAATAGCAAAAGGACATAAATCACCTGCATCTCTGTCCATAGCCTCCACTTTTATGACAAACTCCCCTGGATCTTGGTTTTCACGAACTGTAGCCTTGTAAAATTGCTTCAGAAACATTGGGGTCTCATCATTCACATCAAGAACAATGACAGTTAGAACCTGCGTGGCAGAGAGAGCTGGGCTGCCATCATCAAGGGCCATGACTGTCAAACTGTAGCGTTCCTGAATCTCACGGTCCAGAGACTGGGCTGTAGTTAAGAATCCTGTTACGAAGAAAGAAGATATTAAAAAAGTATTCTGGTCCAGGTTAGGATCCCAGTTGTTCCAGCACTCACTGCTTTAATGTAGCATCACCATGTCACTGCCCAAGGCTTCCAGGCTTTGAAGTCCTAATTGGCCCAGAAATACTCCTTTGACAACACACCCTCAGGGGTGACCTTACTGCCCTCTACAACTACCTGAAAGGAGGTTGTAGTCAGGTGGGGGTTGGTCTCTTCTCCCAGGCAACAAGCAGCATGACAACAGGGCACAGACTCCAGCTCTGCCAGGGGAGGTTTAAGTTGGATATTAAGAAGAGATTTTTTACGGAGAGAGTGGTCAGGCATTGTAATGTGCTGCCTGGAGAGGGGGTGGATTCACCAACCCTGGAGGTTTTCAGGATGAGACTGGATGTGGCATTAGTGCCATGGTCCTAGTAACGATGGTACGGTGGACTCGATGATTTTGAGGTCTCTTCCAACCCAGTTGATTCTATGATTCTAAGGGAAACTGGGATTAATGGAAAATTCAAGTGAAGTTCAGAGATTCCATTTTGTTTAACCTTGGGCTTAACTTTTTTTACTTTATTTAACTTAAACGTTTGTCTTCTTTTGCACAAAAGTTATGCAGTTAGGAGCTCAACAAATCAGTGTGAGCTGCATCAAATAATGGATTCAAAATCAGAACAAGAACTGGAAGATATTGCAACTATTAGGGTGATATTTGCATTTGTATAAAAATGGCATAATAGTCATGAACCAGAGAATTTCAGAGGGCTGAAGAATGAAATTTATCAGAACTTTGAGCCTCTACTGAATATGTTCCACCCACAGTGTAATGCACACTCCTTGGTCTTGACTTTGCCTTTCCTCATGCATACATATTGTAATAGATGCGTGTGCACATGCTTTAAGTATTCATCATGCCAAAATCAGAATGAAGTATTTCACTTCACACATATTCTTCCCACCTTCCTTAAGACACTATTGGAAGAGAGGCCAGTGTACCCACACAACATAGTAAGTGTAATCACTCTTGAGAACAATAAGTCACCTAGGTAGAGTGCCATAGTAACATGGTATTTCAGAACTGCATTGTATGCAGTCCTAAATATTAACATGAGAAACACAGCACAAGAAACTCCAGAGAACAGAAATTACAATACCTGTGATTTTATCCAATATGAATGATTTATTTTCGTTGCCTGAAAGAATGTGATATGTAACTTGACCATTTCTTCCCTCATCAGGATCCTTTGCAATTATGTGGTGTACAAGGAAGCCCATCTCCACATCCTCCATGACATAAGAAAGAGGTGAAGACATAAAACTGGGACTGTTGTCATTGATATCTAAAATAACAATTTTCACAGCCAGGGAATCCAGTCTCCGATCAGTCACATTTATTGCCTGGTCTGTAGCAGACACTGTAAAGATCACAGAACGAGTAATTTCCCTGTCTAGTGGAAAAGCTGTAGTCAAGGTGCCATATGAAGGGTGAATAAAAAATGGATTTTCAGTCCTGTTATTCATTTCTAGGGAATACTGTATTTTGCTGTTCAGAAAACTGCCATCTCCATCTTTTGCATGGAATGTGTAAACCAAAGTGCCAACAGGTACATTTTCCTCTATGCCAATCACTACAAAGTCATCTTGAAAATACGGAGAATGATCATTCTTATCTTCTACATCGATACTTAGGAAGACGGTGTTATTCTGTGGGGGATTACTGTTAAGTTCCTTTATAATAACTTGCAAGAGAAAGTGTGAATCTGTTTCATAGTCAAGCTCCTTGGAAAGAAAAATGTCTCCTGTCAAGCTATCTATTTCAAAATGAACATCATCATCATCTTTAGCAAAACTGAAATGTAGTTTCCTGTTAGTTGATAGATGATTGTCAGGCCACTTCAGAGAATTCAACACTTGTGCAGGTTTAAAATTTTCAGGTACAACAAAGTGCTTGAAATCTTGAGAGAAGCCAGATCTCCCATTGGGAAGTGGGATTACCTGCAATCAAAACACAAAACCTGCAATATTTTCCCACTTTTATTATGAATACTGTAATAAAAATTGTTTTCCTTACTTGAGAGTTTGATAATTTATTATCTGTGAGTATTTGTATCATAAATATGCTTCAACATCAGAAAACACACTCAACATTCTACGTAAGAGTTCAAATAGCCCTTGGCCAAGCATCCCATAATTCTATCCTTCATTGATACTGAAAAAAAAAAGGACGACTGTCTCTCACTCTCTGAATCACAGAGGTCTAAAGACAGACAACTTGAAGACTGCTATCTCTGCTCCTACTCTGAAACACTTCAACTGTCCTTCTACATAGAACAGCATCACCTGGACAAATGTGACAAAGAAAGCATGGGACATTATGCAGTTTTTCAGACACAAACAGAGAGCTGGATGTTTTCAAGGATTGTTTATGACATTACAGGATTTCATTCATTATGGATTGCTGCAGTGTTCCAAGTTAATGCTTTAAAATGAAAGACTCTCTAACTGTGGGAACAGCATTTGCCTTGTCTTGACTGAAGCATATTTTCACAAGCTATCCAAAATTAACCATCTTTTGGGTGACTTGAAAATAGCAGCCTCAGTGACATTCAGCATCTGATAAAGGAGCACACAGGTGGTGTGGACAAAGCAGCCCTACTGCAGCTAGATGAACAGCAGGTGGCTGGCTGTGGAATGAGCACACACTGGCTGTCACACTCCCATGCAGAGCAGCCCTGTATAAATCAGCACAAAGGAATGAGATATCCCTATACAAAGTTACAGAGACAGAATTTAGAAAAGAGCAACATAGTAGACAAAAAAAATCTACTCTCTCCCCCACTTTCAGTCCCTCTTACTAACTGATTTTCTTTCTGCCTACCTGATATTTTCCTTCTCTTTTCCAGTGTTCACAATGATTTCTTACTAAAGCACAAGCATAATCTATTTCCAAGAAAACCCAGAATGCTGTTGTGTATTCTTAACAAATCAAAATGAGCCTGCCTTCTTATTTCCTCCCTCAACAGAAAAATGGCTGAAGAAAAATACCATGAGACAAGGTGCTTACAATTTTGAACCTCTTCCTTTCTTCAGTTTATTTCCCTAAAAAAATTAAGAAACAAAGCATCTAACATAACTGTTCTATCTGTACAACATAAATAAGTACCTGGATATAAACAGCAGCATGTCCTTGAAGCGAAGGGGTCCCCTGGTCCCTGGCTGTGACCACAATTCTATAGTCTGATCTTTCAGCATATGACAGAGACCGAGTTGTTCTTAACTCTCCACTGACAGCATCAATCTGGAAGTATCCTATATCCTCTTCTATGGGGTAGAAATGGATATGTGTTATTGCAAAACAATTCAGCTTGCATCCAGGGTAGTGAACATTCTAATGAACAGTGAAAAACAGCAGGACCCAGAGGAAAGGAATCTGTTGCACTCATTTGGATTTCTCTGGCTTGTTTGGTTCACCTCTCCTTTCTTCACTGAATACATAATTATTAAACCACCTAATCTGGATTTAGAAAGCTACAGAGAGAAATGTCATGGAGTATTAAAGCAACTGCCCAATTTTGTACCAACATTACTCACACCAAAGTGAGTGTACATGGTGTGTGCATCAGGAGAGCAACAGATGTCCCAGGATTGGTTCTGAAATTTCCAACCTTGGCAGGCAGGGCCAAAGGAAGAACTAAGTCTTAGACTCTGAACTGGCATAAAGGGTCAAGCATCTGCTGCTGGCTACACAGCTGGCTCCTGTCTCTCGCAGACTGTGGGGGTCAGTCAGATACCATAACTGCAGTGATGCCATCTGCCCTGCCTATGCTCTGAACCAGGAGTTAATTGGGGGTAGCTAAAATCTTACAGTAAGTTGTTGCAGAGCAACATGTGAATATAGGAAATTATGCTTACATCCTTCATCAAAGACTAGTGGCATTCTAATAACAAGCAAATTTTAATTAAAATTATTACTTGCAGCTACATCATATTAGATTTATTCTAGAGTTGCAAAGAATAATTCTGTGATAGATGAGTAAATAGCTCTTCATGACTTAGAATCTTAAGAATCATTTTAGTTGGAAAACACCCTTGAGATTATCAGATGGAACCCTTAACCTAATACTGCCACGTTCACTAAACCATGTCCCTCCGTGCCATACCTACATGTCTTTCAAACACCTCCAGGGGTGGTGACTTCACCTCCTCCCTGGGCAGACAGTTCCAATGCATGACAACCCATTCAGTGAACAAAGTTTTCCTAATATCTAATCTAAACATCCCCTGGCACAACTTGAGGCTATCTTCTCTCGTCCTATCAAGAGACCAACAAGAGACCAACACACACCTCCCCCGTTTTCAAGAAATGGAATAAAAATTACTCAAACATTTTTAGGAAAATGGGAAAGTATCTATTACTTGGTATACCTTATCAGAAACTGAGAAAATCAAAATTATTGTAAGTACTTTTCTCTTAAAATACTATGCAAACAGGTCTTTGTTACGTGAATTTTTAATAAGGTGTGCTAATGGGTTAACAAAGTCATGCAGCAAAACAGCTGCTATTCTAAGCAACTGTGGTAAAAATAAATTCAGTGCAGATGTAGTATGCAAAATACCCATAAAGAACTGTATTTCCATAAGCACCTAAGTGAGCATGAAGCTGCTTATGTTCTCCAAATCTGCACATGCAAATTTGTTAGCTGCACATATAGATCTTCATTTTTTTATCCAATAGGTGTTCATTTTTGTCTCCAATCACCTCTTCTGCAACTCAAAAATACTTGAAAATATACCTATAAAATTTGAAAAAACAGTGTCAAACTAGTTAAAATCTGGTTTTCACGACGAACAAATAGGAGGTTTTTTTCCAATATTGTTCTGCTCTTTTCAACCGACTAAGTATAGGTTCTTAATGCTTCATGAGTCCCTTCTGGCTTGAGTCCTCCTGTCTGGAACATAACCAGAAAATTGCCAAGGAAAGAAACAATATGTAGAGACAATTGTATTGAAAGAGACAGTCCTGCATTTTGCATTTTTCATGATAGTTTTGAAATATTAATGCTACTATATTACTGTTTTCATAAATAGCTTTTGGTTACTTTCTTGGTTTAGGTCCCAACAGTATGTTCACATTCACAGATATGGTATTTTGTTCCATATAATGTTTCACGACACAAAACCCCACCTAAGCAAAAGGCAGAGGAGATATGAAAAACAGAACACATAATGCAAATTGTATGCATACATTTTCAGCATTTTGCTAAAACTTACATTTAAATAACTGATAGGGAGAACTAACAAGAAAAAGGAAACAGTAAACAAAAGTGCATGAAAACTGTTCCCTTCAATTTTCTGCCAAAATGGAGCTACAGTTACCAAAGTGAAACAAAAAATAAGAGATAGGTAAAAAATAAGACAGAGAACAGAACCATTATAGGTACATAATTGCAATCTGAGCATGAGACTATGAGGATTCCCCTTTGCTTCAGCAGTGATGAGTCAGTGTGTCTTAGCATAACAACCACCACGTGCTCTTCTATATTGAGTGACAGAACATAGATAATTAAGCACCAATTAAATATGTGTCAGTCACAGAGTTACTGAAAGGTTGAAGCTTATTTGATAGGGGAAAAGAATGGTCAACATCTATGTTTTTGAACAAAATATAAGAGCTGGTCAGAAAAGAAATTATTAATAGTGTTATTCACTAGAGACTACAATTCCACTGAAACCCATATACAGCATGAAACAGTCAGTTTTGTGCATATTTGGTGACAATAAAAGTAACAAAAAATATTGGAAAGAGATATTGTATAGAACCAAAACCCCTTGAGACTTCCATTTTGTAAGTGTTTCTTATTTAGACTTTTTATCTGGTACTGCACTACGAATACAGTCAAAAGTGAAGGGTCTTATTTCTATTTTTCTGGTATTTTTATTAGTCTATTTTTTAAATTTATTCATAAACAATTTTAAAGTATAACCATTTGCTTGTGAATCAGAAAAAACTTCAAGAAAAAAACATCCTTATAAAATGGATTTCCCTTCATCTACTGACAGAGAAATCAAACTTTTATACTACATTTAGTAGCTAAAGTAAATTTTCAATTTCTGGATTTCAAAAGCCTAGCTAAAGACAGATCTTGCTTTTCTACTTATTAATAGATGACATGCAAAGAGAAGAGATCGACCATTTTTTAATACTTTTGCCCAAGATTACCAGGGGCAAGTGCACATGAGTGGTAGCTTCCTCACTTTTTAAATACTCCTCTATCCTCCTCCTCATTCCTTTGGAAGTTCAAAGTGAGAAATGAAGGAAAATGTGGCTGTAAGTTTTACACTAATAGAGCACGTCATTCATTGCTCTAAAAGCTCATGTGCCCTGCAATTCCTGAAGCATTTGCTCAGCTTTCATCTCCATAAGACACCTGAGTTAGGCAACTGCTGCTTGCATCATACATCCTAAATATGTCCTTTTGCATATGAGGAGAAAGGGAAGAATGCATACAAGAAATGGATAAGAAATAAAGAATCTGGAAAAAGCAGATGAAGCATAGGACAGAGAAAAATCGAATCTCTCAATAACTACACTAGTGACTCCAGTCTCTTTGTGTGCTTGCAAACTAACCTGCCAATAAACAGATATGCTTTTACAATCAAATTTTTCACTTCTGCCTTGCCCAGCCCATTGGCCAAGCTTTCATTTACATGAGATTCTCCAAAGCCCAAGCACTTTTTCAGCTCAGTGCTCTCAAACATGATGACAGAAACTGTAGTTTAAGACCAAAAGAACGATGGCCTGAGAAACCCCAGCCAATGTGTTACTGTGAACTTTGGCAGAACATTCAGGCCTTCCAGAGACTGGCATATAGGCAAAATGGCCCAGAAAGCAGACACAAAGTAACAGTAGAGGTTTCTCAGCTATTAATGACTCAGTACACAGTGATACTTAGCTATATATTTTGACCTAATTTCCTGAAGAGCTGTATCTTTCCTAGGTGTATCTTTTCTAGGTGTTAAAATAATTAGTACCATCTTACTCTCCTTTGAGACGAAGGAGAAGTTGGTTGTCTTAACAGAAAAGTGGAAGGCAATGCCATGGCTCAAAAAGAACCAGAACATGATGGGGCATCTGCCGAAACGAAGCCCTCCGCAAGACTAGGCATGCTCCCTGCATGTGGCTTGCAATCCACTCTGGAAAACAAGTATTTGTTCACAGACATACATACAACACTTGCCAACTCATGTGGTAGCAGTGTAAATTAGAGTTCTCCTAGCACTTGTCTGGTCAAGTGCTAATGTTGTGTCCACATAATTGGTCCAAATATAACTGTAAAAGCATCTGCTGTGCCAATACTAGTCTTAACACATAAAGCAAGAGTTTATGATGCACTATAAATACACAATAATTTTGGTTATAAATAGTATACTATATCCTATTGACACTCATAAAGAAGGCCAAGCAAACCACCTCGCAATCACCAGCATCACTAAGGTGTAGTACGCACTGCTGGGATTCACCTCCCTCTGAATTAGGTTTCTCTTTCAGGGAGAACACAAAAGTGGAGGTAAGGTCATATGATCATGCACTTCCATACACATAAATGTTTAAGGATGATTTGTTTTAATTTTCTAGGAAGAGGGAGGGATATTGTGAAGGAAACATTTCCCTGTAGTCTAAAATTCATCTAGTGTGTAAACCTCATAGTTCTTTTACAGATTTTTCCTTGTGTAATTTGTTGGCATTTGTCATTAACCCCCTCTGCACAGCTTAATCTATTGCTGCTATCCTGGCATTTCTTTAAGATCTCAGGAACATTAAAAATTACCCTGAAACTCTTACAAGCTTAACAGCTGCCACTGACACTCTCTCTTGTGGCAGTACTGAAACTGCAGAAAAAAAGCACTGGGCTGCATGCAGTCCTCCAATTAATCTGCTTTGTGTTCAGCAAATACAGCTGTAAATCATATCATATTTCTTCTTCATATTTTAGTACTGAACAGTGTCCCAGAACTAGAAAATACTATTTTAAATATAAACCAGGCAAGAACTTCAGCATGAAACAGAAGACCAGATGTTAAAGGCTGTGAACCAACTAACAACAACAACAAAAATTAGTATCAGAGACGCTCAGCTGTTTCTGGATTTATTTATCAGGAAAACATCTAGTTCCAAGGCTGGGAGGGCTTTTTTAGTTGTTTGGTAGGGTTTGGCGTGGTTTTTTTTGTTTTCTTTTTGCTGCTGTTTTTATCCTTCTGTCCTTTCCAGATACAGCTTTTGCAAGAGCAGTCATATTTTGTGTTGCTAGTCATTTTTTTTTAAATTTGAACTCTTACTTACTCCCTCTGGGGCTCTACAGTGAAGACAGCAAGAAAATCTAACATGTTCTTTGAAAGAAGGGGATATAGTTAAGATACATGAACAGGCAGAGAGCTCTGAAAAACACTTCCTGGTTTGCCTTGCCATCACACTTCAAAGAAAGCACTGTGTACTACTTATTCCCTTTTTCTCAAGAGGGATCATTTTGTGCAAAATATTCTTACTCACAATGCAGAAGTCCAAGACCCCTTCCAATTCTCTCTGGAAGAGGTAGTCATTTGTATCCAAATTAAGGGAATCATAAATTTTCTTGCTCTGATGAACCAGTATGCACTACATACAAATTAGTATAGAGTACAAATACCAAGCTTAAAAGGTATTGATGAGCTTAATCTGGTAGAATGGAACAGGTACTATATGAAAAGAAATAGTTCTCTTCCTGGTAGATCTTACTGTTTTGAATCAATAGTGAAGCAAAGCAGGAAGAACAGACCTGTTCTCCTCCCTGGTTACAGATGTTCTCACTTTTATGAAAGTGCAGCAAGTGGTATGCAGCAAAACCAGACCACATCTATTCTCTTACCAGTATTAATGCCCCAGTCCCACTCATGTTCTAATTTGGGACTGCTCTGTTAATAATTTCACTACAAGCAAAACTGGATCCTATATCTTACCCCAAAAGTGAACTACTACATGTAGTAATTACAGGGAAAACTAAAGAGGAGGTGTTTTAAAGTGGCCACGCTATGTCAGATTAACACAGTGCTAAACAAAGGGTGAAACATGAACTAAAAACCACAAGCCTCATTGTTTACACAGATTATTTGCTGATCCCTCTGATTCCTGTCTGTCTCAGACTGTCACAAACTGTTTTCTTAGCAGGATAATTTTCAGTTGGTCATGGGAAGAGAGAGATCATCTTTCCTTCAAGATGTTAAACAACTGACTGAAACACTGAACTGTACAGTACAAGATCACAGTTCTAACCTTTTCTTAGTGCTATTTGAACACTCTCTGGCCAGCCACAGAAGCAATCAAACCCCTGGGAAGACGGGGCAGAGGGGGAAAGGAGATGCTTCATAAGACACATGATGGTCCTGATTCCTATTTACACAGGTACTTTTATTCTAACACACACAAAACAGACATAAAATCATGTATGTATACATGGCACCTCTAAATATCTAGTTATATTGATGCATCTTTTCTTATTAATAACACTTTAAATTCTTACCTGGTTCTATTGAATATAATACAAAACCATTGTTTCCAGAATCGAAGTCTTTTGCAAAGATGGTGATAATAAATGTCCCTGATGGCTGCCCTTCCAAAACCTGTCATCAAGCAGTTTAGAAATAATTTGCAATTATACATGGTTAATAGTAAATCTTAAAATGCTTTGCCACAACTCAAGAGTTTAGCTGTTGTTCTATTTTCCTTTTCAGTAATATTTACAGTCAGTGTAAACAGCATTTCAGGAGACAGGTAAATAACAGAGTTCTAGCAGTCCTCTGTCAAGTTCTGTATAGATTGCTAACTCAAACATCTTTAGGACGCTTGCAGCCCAGAAAGCTAACCACATCCTGGGCTACATCAAAGTGTGGCCAGCAGGTCAAAAGAGGTGATTCTCCCTCTCTACTCTGTTCTTGCGAGACCCCACCTGGAATACTGCCTGCAGTTCTGGTGTCCTCAACATAAGAAGGACATGGAACTGTTGGAATAAGTCCAGAGGAGGCCACAAAGTTAGTAAGAGGACAGGAGCACCTCCCCTATGAGGGCAGGCAGAGCAAGTTGGGGCTGTTCAGCCTGGAGAAGAGAAGGTTGTGTGGAGACCTCATAGTGCCTTTCAGTATCTGAAGGGGTATACAGGGGAGCCAGAGAGGGACTCTTTTTTTGGAACTGCAGTGACAGGACAAGGGATAACAAATTCAAATTGAAGGAGGGGAAATTTAATCTAGATATTAGGAAAAATATTTTTTGCTGTGAGGGTGGTGAGACACTGGCACAGGTTGCCCAGGGAGGTAGTGGATGCCCCAACCCTGGCAGTGTTCAGACCCAGACTGGATGATACCTTGAGCAACCTGGTCTAGTGGGGAGGTGTCCCTGCCCATGGCAGGGAGGGTTGGGACTACATGCTCTATAAGGCCCATTCCGACCCCTAAAATGCTATGATTCCAGTATGGAAAACTCGGAGGTCTGAAGCTGAAAGATACTCCACTGCATACATAAATAACATAACACACGTGCATCCTTTCCAGCCGGCAGCACGCCGGGCAGGGTTAGGTGAGCCGGGGCGCAGGGGAGGGCGCGGCCGCGGG